ACCCAGGCACCACCACCTGCCACGCAGACAAGCCCACCGCCCCCAATCCCTCTTCCAGCGAAGAAGAACGAGCCAGCCAGCGCTCAAGAGCGAGCCACGAAACTCAAGGCAAGATTCCACCGCCGCAGCGAGAGAGCACGTCGAGGACGCTCACTCAGTAGCAGCAGCAGCTCTTCCTCAACCTCGGAAATCATCGAGGTTCCTCCATCGACAGGATCGAAGACTGCTACAACAGTCCCGCCGCTTCAAGTGAAGCAGAAGAATGATGATGAGAAGTGGAGAGAGACCAGCACGGCGAAGGCGTCCAAGATGGAGGAGCAGGCCGACCAACTCAGGGAGAAAGCGAGGATTGCTCGACAGGCGCTCGAGCTCATGCAAGACTGCGGTGACTCAAGCGAGCAGCTCTCCTCGGGCGGAGAAGATGGCGCTGCGACCCGCTCGAAACCCAAGAACCAGAACCAGACTGCGCCGGCGCAACCGGTACGACGATCTCAGCGCGCTCGGCATCCTGTCAATTACGCCGAGTAAGTGATGTGCTGACCACCTTTAGAGATTGTGTAAGAAGTTTTAGAAGAAGAAAAAAAGTTATGAAAAAAAAAAAAAATGGACCATGAAAGCGGCTGCTCCTAATGAAACTGTGAAATTCTTGAGAGTTCTCTAAATATCCCGACTGACCTGTAGCTTTTGACATGACCGCCCAAGTGCGTGCTCGCGAACCTTATGTAGGCCTCAAACCGCGGTAATGCAAATAGAACGCAGTGGGCCGAGAACCGAGATTTGAAGCAACCGAGATTTGAAGCCAGGGCTGACCGTCTATCAATTTTCTCATTCAATCTTTCCTTGTTCTAAGCTCCCGATAGACGCCAGCACCGATACCTACAACGAGCAAAATGCCATTAAATACAGCCATCATGTAGAACGGAGCACCTGTCGAGAGACTATCAAACAAATAGCCTCCAAGCTTCGTGAGAAGCAGAATCGCGGCTCCGCCTGATAGCGAATAGACACCAGCTATTGAACCTTTCAAATGGCTCCTGGATCGTGAATGCTTAGTTGTGGTCGTCGATCCAACAAGTGGCGCCGTCTCACCGGCATCGTTTGGGAGCGGAGTCGTCGAACCTTGAGCACCGGGAAGCTGGCGGGATAGATTGTAGCCACCTTCATCTCCGAGAACACCTCGGCCGAGTAGCCCAAGGCTGCACACAATCGCCCCTATCTGACTGATTCCAATCATAGAAACAATAAGGAACACTGTAGGGCTTCCACCTCGGTCCTTCACATTTGCAGGTTCGGGGCTATCCAGGTTCGCAAATGCTGTGTAGCCGATAATGCCAAAGACACTTGCTACTAGAAGTGGCACATTGAACCGGCGATACCTGTCAGAAAAATATCCGAATAAAGGCGCACAGAGAAGTGCAACTAGTTGTGACACTCCTGTCAATTCGGCAGCCAAGACATAAGCTGCCCTGCATTCTTTCTTGAGCTCGGGAGATGGATCGTTAGGAGAGCCCTGACAGAACCCATTTCGGATAAAGAAGGCATTGACATATAGAGGGATGAAGAGGGAGATGCCCACTGAGGAAGCTCGCGCAACAAACCCTCCGAGGTAACCGAGACCTATCTGAGTATCCTTAAATCCTAGGACTGTAGAGTCCAAGAGCAACCGCCAATAGGGGAGGAATGGGGCTCTGGTCGTTCTTTGGTCCTCCCCCGTAGCCAATGGCTCGTATTCCGAAGATGGCGATTTTCCAAGCAATAAATTCAACCCCTTTCCTTCTTCCCCTTGTAGCCCTCGGAGTCCAAAGAAACACAGGCAAGCCACCACCAGCGAGACTGATCCAACCACATAGAAACTATCTGCGACTGCCTGTCCTTGTGTGATTCCTTTCCTATGGGAGAACTGGGCCGGTAACGGTAGAAATATGGACAGCGCCACCAATGCACCGCAACCCGTAAAAACACCTACTAGACCTGCCAACCTTGGTGGACTAGCTGAGGCCTTCTCGGTCGGGTTTTTAGCAGCCCCATTGCTTCTAGGCTTCGGTCTATTGTTGTAAGTTGCGGGTGTTATAGTAGCTTCGGAGTTGACAGATGCACATATGCTGTTTCGAACATTTGACAGCGTCTCGGAATCGGTGTTATGATCCGGATTGTAAGGTTTGCTCTCTTGGCCTCCCCCGGTCATGGATGGTAATATCGCTGTAACCATAGTCGCCCTACAATTGATCAGCTCGTGCATCAATTGGTACTGATTTGTACCCACGTAGCAGCTCCGCCCACACTGAACAAGATTCTTGCCAACAGAAGCTGGGGGTATACATTGCGAGCCTGGACGAATATGAAGAGGGCCAGCCCGACGATAGTGTATCCCGCAACACAGACTATCCGTACACCCAGTCGGTCTGACAGAATTCCCCATAACGGACATGCGAACAATGCCACCAGCTCATCCGCAAACCCAAGTGTCCCAACTAGATCTCCGACTCCATCCTTGACGCCTAAGAGGTCGGTAATGACGAATGAAACGCTGCTATTGAGAAAGACGAGGAAGGATATCGAGAAGAGGCAAACGGCGAACATGTAAGAGCAGGCCTGCGCCGTCGTCGTGGAGGGTGCGAAGGGGAGGTATTTAGATATGGCTAACATGTTGGGCATGTATCCGGCCTTTCTGCAGACTCGATCGATGTTTTCTACCTCATGGTGTCGCGTTGTTGATATCCCGGGCGCTGACATATAAGGATCCCTTTCTTACATTGCGGGGGTGGTCTATTAATAGTCAGTGCGCTGCCTGTTGACCTGCAGGCTCTCGGTTACCTTAATGGAAGAACTCTTGGTACTCCAGGGTCCAAGCGAGATTCGGCAAGACATCACGTTTGGGGCGATTGCAGTCCATATATTTGTGATCAGATTAATAGTCGGCTCTGAAAGGCTGTAAGGAGGCCTACTTAAGCGAGCCGACGATTATTGCATTGGTCTTCTCTCTAGACATTAACTATGGCCATACTTCACTTTGGGATGTCCTTCGTGGCTGTAAGGAGTAAAGTATTTGCAAAGGATAGCTTCAACGTGACAAAATCGCTTTCAAAACACCTAAATGCAGCTGCTGATCTTCGTAACCAATCATTAATCTCGATATAATCTGGAGGCCTGGCCCCTAATATGTACAGTGAAAGTTGAGGCATCACCGCCCCATTAGCCATTAAAACCAGCACCGACCCAAGGTGTTCCATCGCGTTCGCATATCTCATAAATTTCGTGTCCGTCCAATTTTCAGATTTTTCAATATGCTAGACCAGTTCCCCAGGTTGCGCGAAAGTAGTATATGCCCATAACGGTCGTAATTTCATATCTTTGTCGTCCAAACCACACACATTTCGTAAAGCAGAAGAGAGAGCTTATGCGAGGGCGATCATTGCCATAGCACCAGCGATAGCGAGTGCGAATGGTCCATTTGTTGGTTGGGCCGCGGCATTGGTTGAGATTTGCTCGGGTGCGGAGGCACTGGGGGATGGAGAAGATACAGGAGTGATGGTGCTCGCTGGTGAGGCCACAGTGCTCGATTGAACAATCGGAATCGTGGTGAAGACGGAACTTCCAGGAAGAGTAGCGGTCACCTAAAAATCAGAAATCAGCAAATTCTCTGTTCAGAGTGTGTGTAGAATTTAATCCTGGGATGCTTGAAAAGCAGGGAGCGGCTATGTTTCGATTAACGCACCTCAGACGGAATCGTTACAACTTCGGTAGCAAATACAGATGTCCCCAAGGTAATTGGGACATAGATGGTGGCCTTGGTCGTCGGTGACTCTAGGGTCTTGGTGATCGTGTAGGAGGAAGTCAGAAGGACTGTGTTAGTCTCGGTCACTGGAATGACAACAGTGGAGCCAGCTGAGACGGTCGTATACTGGAGGGAAAGTTAGCCCTAAGATCTTCAGTTTCCAGGCTCTCGGCTCTGAAGGCGAGTTCTGCGCTGCTCGATAATATTGAAGGGAAAGGGTAGGGAATTGTACATACGTATGTCTCGTACTCGGATAGAGTCGTATAGACGTCCTGAGTGGCGTAGCAAGTTGTCAAAAATGTCACAGTCTCGTAGATAGTAGTTGGGCTGCAAATTATTCGTTAATATTGTCTTGGGGGATTGACCAGAAAGAGGGAGGTTCACATTTTCTCGACAACCAAGCTTGTGGATGTGTAGACTACTTCAACTGCTTTTCCAGACACGGTTTTAGTCTCAGTGATGGGGCACAGCGAACTTGATGTCTGGAAGACGTATGTCTCGACGTAGGTTGTGATTGGTGCGAGAGTCGTATATTCTTCAACCTTGGTCGGAACTACAGTGTAGATCAAGCTGGTCGAAGTCCAGACTTCTGTGATCGTCTCGCCGGCACTTGATAGATGTTAGCCTGCATCTTACCAAGTTATAGGAGATGCGTATTTTGTATAATTTTGGCTCCGAGGTCATGCGAGTCGTGATTTGAGAGGGGGGCGAACTCTTTCATAGAAAAGGGTGGATATCTGTACATACATGGTTTTCGTTTCTGTTATGGGACAGAGAGAAGTAATGACGCTAGTTACACCAGTTGCAATTGCCACGGTCGTCGGAGGAGCTGTAGCGGTCGCTTGAACCTTTGTTGGTAGAACAATATAAATAAGAGAAGTTGAAGTCCAGGTCTTGTAGATCGTCTCGCCGGCAATGGTTGTCGTTTCTGTAATAGGACATAAAGACGTGATAGTGCTCTTTTCTGCACATCAGCTTCGATTTTTCCGAAACAGCCTGGGACACAGGGAATGGAAGTGCCGCATACCGTGACGCCAGTCTCCACAGGAATAGTAGTATCTGGAAGCTGAACCGTCTCTACGATGGCAGTCTTGATAACTGAAGCCTGATTAGCACTTGATTTCACCAAGAGATGGATCTCGACTTACGATCAACGATGGTCGAGGTGGTGGTGTATGTGTGATAATAAGTATTTCCAGCTTCAGTCCTGGATATAAATTAGCTCAAGCCGTACACAGGAGCATATGAAAGCTCACGTTGTCGAAGTTACCGGGCAGATCGTAGTGTAGGTCACGTAAACCTCTGTTATCTTCGTTACCTCGCTGCCCCACGCAGCGACGGAAGTGGCCAGGGCCAAGGCAGCCAAAACGGATGAGGACTTCATGTTGAGATTTCTGAGCTGAGACTGATGCGTGGACAACGAATGATGTGTGGATGAGAACGAGCGAGTGATCTCGAGCAGCGTAGCGAAGGTGTTAAGTAACTTTAGCGAAAGACTTACTTGATTGAATCTGACGGGGCTGGGAGGTCTGTATGACAGAAGGCTGGTTTGCGTGGAGGAAGAAAGAAAACAAAAAAGGCTGGAAACCATGTCTGTTAAGAAACATAAAGAAAGAGCAAACAGGTCCTACCTGCCAAAACAAGGCTAAGTCCATATTTGGGGATATCGCATGCTGCTGCCTCGGGACCCTCATATGAAGTAGGAAATATGGCCGTCAGACCGACAAAATATCGGTTAGAGCTGGGATGGGATGAACAGCGGCAACTACTGTTGATTCTATTGCTACTGGAAGATGAATACGGGACCAGGAAGTTTTGCTAGATGGCTGGTTGAACTAGTAACCCTCTGCATGAGGAGAGATGCGACGTAGCTTTGGCCTGAGCATAACCATATGTCAATTGGCCTTCGACTGTGAGCCCCAACAAGGGCGTGTTTTCGTGACCATGCCCAATGGAATTGTGCGCAGGAGCAAGCAACACCGTTTGCTTCTGACCAGGGGTCAGCTTTCCTGCCCCTCAAACTGATGGATTTGCTGAAAGCGCAGGAAAGGAAGAGGTCAAGTTGAGACAATCTAGATAGACTTCATCCGCAATATCTGAACCACGTTGACCGACTTTGCTAAGCGGTCCTCCACATCTGTGCTTTGAATTCCCCCGAGACAGAGAATCGTCAAAAAATACTGTCGGGAAAACCCAACAGCAGCTAGGTTATTTGCAGAAAATCCTCAGCCTCTTCGTCATGTTCCAGTCGTACTAAGATTATTCCTGCGTGTGTCACCGGCGCTGGAACTCTATCGATAAAGCCGTTGAGATGTCAGGCCATAGATTTAAGAGCAGCCCCTGTAGAAACCCTTCTCGACTAATATTCGCTGACATTATTGGTGAGGATTTAGCTTGGTACCCTTGGGGTGTTGCACAGAGGTCGTACAAGAATTTCAAGTGAAGATACTGGCATACGACGAGGTTGGCGAAATTCTTTGGAACGCATGAGAAACTACGCCTCTGAAGAGAAGTAAGACCACGTACGGGACGAGATGCCTGGCTGGCGATGATGCCGAGACATCTCACTCTGTTTGAATATTTTCTTTGATTGCGTCAGGAAATGCCGACAGGCTTTTGATACCAAATTTGAGCTAGCTCACCGAAATCTCCAGCTCTCTCCTCCGCTACAGCGGTCTGGTCTGTGTAAGCACTAGGCTCTCCGAAAGGAAAATAAGAGTGCAATAATATACCAGCTGATGGCATACATGTATGTGGTGAATTGAAGTACTTTAGAGTCACGACATTACCTCCCCGATCCGTCGCTTTCTTCGGAACTTCGGAATGCCTCACCGCGCCTCATAGATTCATGAGCGGGTCCTTCAACCAACCAGCCTCGCCGGGACGTAGACACATCGAGATGGCGCTGTGTAACACGAAAATGGTGGAAAATAAAAGCTCATCCATGCTGTGCCACATTGACCCTGTTTTTTGCTGCTAAGCTCAAGGGGTTTCGTTACTCGCTTAATCCTTGAGGCGGGGGAGGGGTCAAAAATGGCATCAGATATTATTGATTATCCAAGAATGATTGCCACGAATTATGGAAGATTTTAGACCAATTGCAACAGGAGTTTGGAGTTCGATATTTGGGTTGCACGTTGTAATTTTCAGAATAGTTGTAACTCCTCCGTATGCGGCCGGAAGATCACTCGACCTCGGAAACAGCTGGCAGGGCAACCAAAGAACGAAAGTGAAAACAACGCGCATGCAATCAATTCAAAAGCATTCCCTCGGTTTTCGCTGAGATCAAGTACAACGAGACGGCAAGAATTTGGAGATTTTTCGCCAGCTTAATGCCTATCCGTGTGGAGCGGATGCTGATAAAATGACATGACCTTAAAGGGTAATTATTGCTGGTTGCTTTCCCCCGTTCATGTAAGGTGGGTTAGAGCCTTAGCTCTTTGCAAAATCATACCCTACTCTTGCGAGTATCCGTCTCTATACGGGACGTGGGGTGATCAAGGTTGTGCCATAATTTTCGGCTCGATACACCTAGTAGATGCGTCATCTAATATATGCAATGTGCGGAAACCGTGCTGGACATACCACTTCTCCGACGTTCGAACTGATGGCGTATCGTGAGATCGGCTTCATCCCAACACACTTCACTTACAGCCTCGCTCACCTGGTTCAATCATCGTCCGAGTCTGAACCGCTGTCCCAGCCTTCCTCATACCCTTCAGCTATCTCGCCCAGAGAATTGCTAAGTGCCTCACGCTCGTCAAAACCAACGGCTCTACCGACAACGAACTGGAGATTCTTTATCCTCAAGGCAACTGTCGTGTCGGTAGAGAGAGATGTACTGACTCCCAACGAAGATGTCGTACTGGGATGGGCATAGATGTGGGGAAAGCTGTCAAGCAGGGGGAACGACAGGGATATTACTGTTCTGGAGGTATCATTTGGTAAGCGACAAGGCTCAATATGGCTGAGAGAAATGCAGAATTTTTCTGTCTGATGCGGGGATACGAGACCTGAATATAGCCTCACGGAAGAAATAAAAAATGGGTTCACTGACCTTTCAATGATGGGAAGACCAGCTGCTCGGCGTCGCGCTCGCTCATGGCCTGCTTCTTCCTCAGTGTCTTCAATCTCACACTCCTGTTGATCATTGGATCTGTATATCTCGGCCTGGCCGAAAATATGAGGCTCTTTAACTGCTCGGCGGTTCCGACTTTGTTCAGCTGTTTCGGGGAAGAAGTCTATATCAAATGTATTTAATTCTTTGTCTCCTTTAGAGGAAGGCTCTTCTTCGACACGTCTCTCCTGAGATGGCAGTCTGAGATCTCTGCTTTTTGCACGGAGGTCTGGTCCGGCTACCTGTTGCTGCCTGTTGGGAGACGCCCTCTGATCGATACTCATCTGAACTTTTGCAATGTTTTGGTTACCATTGACATTCAAAACGTTAACGAGCTGGTCCATCGAGGCACGGCAGTTATTGTGGATCCTTAGTCTTGATGGCAAGGTCATCGTTTCGAAAGCTGTTGAGAGTAGACCGCCGATATGCCATTGAGACTTCGTATCGATCGTGACATAGCCAGGAAGCCTCGGTGATGGGACTGTCAGAGGAACGAAGAGAGAGGCCTGCGGTGCAATCTCTGAGATGGACCTAGCTGTATTCGACAGCTTGATATATTTTTTCTCCTACAAGCCGTCAGCGGTGGTAGTACAATGTAACATGAATGGTTATCGTACCCTGGGTTGTGACTTTGAACCATCTTCCAATGCCCAGAACTGAACCGTAGTTTTTCCATATTCGTCACGAATTCGATCCATATATCTTGCAGCAAAGCCACCCCAAGCATCATCGATCCCAGAAATCATTTGAATACCTTGCATGTGATCAGCTTCTTCGGCGAAAGTTCTCAGGTCACGGTCCAAGAGATCATGCTCTTTGTCAAGCGACTTGAACAAATCTTCTCCGACGCTCCATTTCTCAAAAGGCATGAGTGCTGAACCCAACTCGTACTCATTGAGCTGGACAATAGATTTTGGGTGGAAGTAGACCCTGTTGAAATCGGACCAATATCTTACAGACTCTGCAGTGAGCGGCGGGGGCTCGAGTCCACTGTCAAGGCTTTGCTGGTAAGCACTTTGCTCAATGGCGGTCTGCCGTTGGACTACCGTAGGGCCGTTCCTTGTACAGGTCAGTTGACAAGAAGTCCGTAGGGGCAGATTTTAGCCCGGCTTACCACAAACCTTGCGGGACGACAGGCTCCTCGATTTCATACAGAGCATTAATCTTCCTCAAAGATCCGAAGCCTCCTTTGAGATCGTAGATAAGGGTTCGAGGTGTGAATGTCTCGGACCCATCGGCGCCCAAACCAGGTCGGAAATGGATGTCGTGGTCGACGAGAGACTCTTCATCTTTTGAGTATGTGAAATACGATTCCTGGAATTCATCAGTCTCAGATTGGCTGCACTGGAAGAGTCATTACCTGAGTGTTCCAGAAATGGGTAGCGAGGTAGTTGCTCCTCTGCCCGAGCTGGAGAGTTATGATCTCGTGCATGGCTGATCACCTTTCGCTGATCGAATAGAGTTTTGATATCGGACACGGCCCAGGGAGGTGGACAAGATGTGCATGCTACTTCCGTCTCGATAGGGGTACACCAGCGCCGTCTCGAGGTTCGCGAATATTCTTGAAATAGGAGGTACTTGTCGAGACTTATCGAGACATTTGCTCAGACAGCGCGCATGGGAGAAGAAGCTTGATTCTACTTCTTGATTGATCACGTGTCTTATTTCCACGTTTTCCGCAGGGGTCAGGCAACTCTGCTTTCCTTCTTGCCATCTCCAACATTTACAACATCAACATCAACTTCACATCCAGAACCGAACGAATATCCAGCTAAAAAGATTTCGATTGCGATCAATTTAATTGCATGCCACTTCCAATGGCTTGGGCTCTCCCAAATCCAGTTTTTGAAATCTAGCTCCAATAATCCGTACCCCGCATCCCTTTGGTCATTGATTATCTCCTTTTATTTTCTTTCTTCTTCTGATATACATTTCAATTACAGTTATCATCGTAATTTGCCATCGAATTTATTTCGAATTCGAATCTTGTACGACTCCCGTATCACTTATCCGCCTCGCAACCAACATGACTTTTAAGCAAGAGCTCGGCTCATGGATGTCGCCCAAAATTCTCACTACCTCCCCAGTCCCAGAAATCAACAGCAAAGCACCCTCCGACTCCAAGCTTCCCCTTCCGCCGTCAAACGGGAAGCCAACCATCGTGACTTTTCTCCGGCATTGCGGCTGTCCCTGTACGTCTTGCTCTCCTTCTGTAACCAAAACTAATTCCTCTCATTAGTCGCCGAAAAGACATTCCTCTCCCTACGCTCCCTGGCCGCGGAAGACTCTTCAAAGAACTACATTGCAGTATCGCACTCCTCTTCCTCTGCAACCCAAAACTGGCTGTCGTCGCTCGATGGCGCCGGCAAAGTCCAAGTCATCGTCGACGACACGCGTGAACTGTATGCAGCGTGGGGTCTGGGTGTGTCCAGCACCTGGCATGTGTTGAATCCCTGGAGTCTGTACTCGGTGTACACGCTGGGGAAGAAGGAGGGCATTTGGAACAAGCCTACAGAGAGCGGCAGTCGCTGGCAGACGTCGGGGAGCTTCGCAGTCGACGGGCAAGGTAAGGTGAAGTGGGTGAAAGTCCCAAAGGCTGCCGATGAGGTGCCAGATTTCGGAGAGGCGACGGAGGAAGTTGGGGGTCAGGCTTAAGCCACAAATTGTAATGAATGCACAAACTGGAGGCGTCTTCTAGGCTCTTAGATTAAGTGTGCGGGAGTTGTGGCATGTATTGGATCGATTCTGTGTTGACACTGTATCATATACTAACTTTGGGTTATACGTGTCTTCATATAAACATGCTTCAACATGTATTGGGATCTCTATGTGACTGAAATCTCCTTGATGAATTCACATAGCGTGCCTGGGTATTGAACAACCTTCCAGCGTTTTGTACTGAAATCAATCATGTACAAAGCCTCGGATCGCGACCGATACTCCAACATATCTTGTCCGGGTTCCTTGCCTGGCAGCCGTCTAGCACAAGGAAGATCTCATACGAACCCAAGCCCTCAAGTTAACATCCCTAGAGTCGAAATTCCAACCTCCGAAAAGCCTGTGGCTGGTTCTCTATGAGTCCGGATCAAGATAGATAGATCTCACTACCCCTGCTCCTTCCGCAAATGAGACATGAAGCCAGCTTCTGTGTGATGCTACAGGTAGTGTTCAGTGTGAAGACAGAATTGGGGTTTGAAAGGCAAACCAACCAAGACACCAGCGGCGAGCAGCAACTAGCTGGAGATGAGAAGTCGCATAACCTGGGCCCGTGGGTGGAATCAAGGCAGATGATTCTCACTTTGTATTGGTGTTCCAGGTCATCTAAAGAGGCTTTCCAAGTTCCACGCGCGATAACTGAATGTATCGTGCGACTGACCAAGGCATTAGAATTATTGAATTTTAGCTTCACCCAGAGGTCAGTCGGCGCCTCTTCCAGATACGCATCGAATTTCTTTGCCGGCCCTCCTTTAGGTATGCTAGTAGTCAACTACGACCAGGGGGCCAGCAAGTATCGGTGGCAATACCTGGTCATCATCACAACCTTGATTCGGAGATCTCGATCGGACAGAATTATCGGTACCACTTTTCAGAGCTTCGTATGTTTAGCGCCCCAAGGCCCCAACCACATGTCATGCAAATTGCCTTTCATTTATTCGCTCACCGCAGCGCCCGCCGGCGGGTGCCACAATAAATAGTAGTACCTCGCTTAAAAGGCGCCAACGACAATAAAAAAAATAAGCCCTCGCACCAAAAGAAAAAAGGGGGATTTTTTTTAAAAAAAAATATATATATATAAAAAAATCATAGACAAAAACTCCGGTCGCAACCCACAGCTGCGTCCAGCTGCGAATTACGCCTTGAAAACCCGTCAACCCGAAGGTATCTGATTTTAATAAAGATTAGCAAAGGAGGGCAGAGCCCGAGTGAACCACCAGACCGGGCTTTCGCCTTATCCTGTGGTTCACGGAGGCTTCACCACTACTTTGATATATACTAGCGTCCGAATTTTTTTGGGGGGCCCGGTTTACTAGTAGAAGGTAACTTGTTACAGCGCTCGGTAGGGGACATTGATTCATCTTCGAACAGAACTACAGATTCCATGACGATTGTTTTTGGGCGGCAACGCAGCGTACCCTTTACTTAGTAAGGCACTCGAGGATTCGACCTGCCTGTATGGAAACAGCCAGGTACATGAGGGTCAAACCCTCCCTTCCCTCATTGACGGCCTACAACCCATCATCGAGTATCAGGAATTGGAAACACCATGCCGCCGCGCCATTTCCGCTACATGTATGTGTGTGTTCTTCATGCCACAGACCAGGGACAGAAAGAAGCGAGCCTTTCTCGCCTCCCGCAGAGCTGACCCGGAGCTGTCCGATTCCCAATCCTGGGTGGAACAAGAAGATATTACGATTTAGATTTCCCGAACCACGCTAGTCTCATCTGGAGATGTCAAACAAACAGGGAAGGACCCCTAGATTGGTTATCTGGTCCCTTATTAGCCGGGAAAAAAAGAATTAGGTTCTCCCCAGAGATCATATCGCGTTCCGTTCAGAGAATCGCTATAGTGCTTAGCCAACTTTCGCAATTGGCGGGTGGTGATGATTAATCGTACAGGTTACGGAGCACGAAGGAGAAAGATCATGGGCGTAGTTGGAGCAACATGGGAGATCCGAGGGATAGGAACAGAGCGGCCAATTTAAGTGGGAGAGCTGGGACTGTCCTTGACGAACATAGCTTCCTCTTCAGACGTCTCTTCCTCTTCCTCTTCCTCTTCCTCTTCGAAAAATAATCGAGAAACGATCGATTCCCTCGAAATCTTCGTCCTCATCCTCCGTATCACGGCCATCACACTCACATGAAGTCTCAGCATCGATCTAAGTATCATAGAATGCCTGAAATAAATAAGATCATCGATGTTCTCGACACCAGCCTGCTCGAAGCTCTTGCTTATCCTTCAAATGTGGACTGAACTTGCAGCTTTATCGTGTCCCCCAACGAATGTCTCAACTCCATTAGAGCCTTGGATATTCCCCTCTTTTGCTTGCGAGCGCGTATCTTTCCCTCGCTCTTATTCTTGGGGTCCTTCCAGACTTGCTTTCGCTTTGGGCCCGCTTGGCGGATGAGCTTTGCGACCTGTATCAGTCAGCATATGGTATTCTGATTGGACAATCTGGGAGGAGTAAAACGGTTGATATCTCGGGATAGGATATGGCGGTCAAGTTATGCCTGTAATTTCCTTGACAGACCGCAACGCAGGATAACAGTGATAAGCTGATTGACTATAGACAAGGGTACGAAAACAGCGCCATTCATCTGCCATGATACCAGTATCTTCTCTCTAATTATCAGATCAACTTTACTGAAATCAAATCTCCCCCCAAATCCAGAAGTAAACCTCAACAAGCCCTATCAAGAACCAATGTAAACATAACATTAAAAAAAGCCAAACGAGTCTTTGGGGAGCATAGCATAGCATAGCATAGCCCCCACCAAAAAAATCCATCACCCAAAAGGCGTCCTCTTCTGAATAGAACAGAAATCTTTGTATACCACCAATTGGCCTTTTTTGTCTAGCCTCGGCTTGGTCCGCTTGCGAGCTTCATCATCTTCATCCTCCTCCTCCTCCTCTTCTTCTCCAGCGCTTCGAAGTCTTGAACTGCACGCTGGCTGCGCTTGAGAGGATTCTCTTTCAGAGAACACTCACTTACTTGGGCCGCCACGCCACGCCTCGCCACGCCACGGCATGCATACATGGCCCCTTCCCTTATGGCGGAATTTTTCTGCTCTGGCGGTGCGGACATCCTCGCTGTCCTCGCCGAGAGAGCTGTTCTTGAAAATTTATCCTCGAGCTCCGTGGGGTAGGGCATCCGAAGAACCGCAGTCATCCCACTTCCGGTAGAAGATAGGAGCCAGGCCGGCGCAGGGCTTGCTGGATAAATAGTCTGCAGTTGAGTGGTGTATCTGTATCAGTGGATTTCTAATTTTATCATTACCACAGAGAAAGGAGAGGCCGGATAAGAATTTGGAATGTAGGGAATTGGCCCGCGGGGATATTAGTTAGTTCCTTCCTATGTACTCGCGCTCGATGGTATTGTTGAGATCGGAGGCGGCCGACGACGCGAACAAGTCGACGTTGATGGAAGAATGTTTGAGTCTCTATATTACCGCAATTTCCATGGCGGCTGGAGCGGGGAGAGTTTGCAGCAAACTTTTTTCGCGCGCTGTTGGCGCAGGAGCGGACGATACCTTTGGGCAGGAGCAGAGTTGTCACCATGCAGTCACAACCGAAACTTAGCGAGCGCAAAAAAGGGACCATCATCTCTGCACGTAGATTCACAACATTAATATTACATGTAGAGCTCACTGGGAAATTCAATCGAATTCACACCGAGTGAGTACAATATGTCTAGATTCTGCGCCTCGTATCACGTCCGAATGTCAGCTCAACGAGAACGAATGAAACCATGCAATTTTGTCCGGTTGAGATGTACAGAAGAGGCGATAGAGCCTGACCCCGCCCGCGAGAGTTGTGGAGTATTTACTGGAACTGGAAAACCTTGTGAATGACCTCGGAAGTGACATTGGCAATGTACTCTGCATCTGCCTGGGTGATGTTGTAGGGCGGCGCCAGGATAACATGATCCCCATCGATGCCATCGGCGGTTCCAGTGCCTGGGTATATAGTCATGTTGAACGGTGCCGATATCGCAGTGTTGTGCACCTTTTGAGCAATGCCCATCTTGACAGAGAATGGTTCCTTGGTCTGCTTATCCCTGACAAACTCGATGCCCCAGAAGAGTCCTCGCCCACGGATGTTTCCCACATTGGGATGGTCTCCCAGAAGATCCTGGAGACGCTTCTCGAGGTACGTACCTTGAGTGCGAACGTTCTCCATCAGGTTGTCTTCACGCAGGATTCTCTGGACTTCGAGTGCCGCAGCAGCCTGAAGTGGCATGCCCTGGAAAGTTTGTCCATGGATGAATTGACCGCTGCCATTCAAGAACGCACTGACAACCTTTGGAGAGATGAGTACAGCAGCAACTGGCTGGTAGCCTGCACTGAGACCTTTGCCGACTGCCTGAACGTCAGGGACGACGTCCTCATCCTGCCACGCATGCAGAGTACCGGATCGGCCCATGCCAGACATAACCTCATCCAGAATGAAGAGTGCTCCGTACTTGTGGCAGATATCTCTCATAGCCTTCAGATAGCCTGGGACGGCTGGTACACAGCCCAATGCAGCCCCCACAATTGGTTCTGCTACGAAACCGATGACTGTTTCTGGGCCTAGCTCTAGGAATTTGGCCTCCAGTTCTGCCGCCTTTCTGGCCACGAAAGCAGCGTCCGACTCTCCATCTCTGCATTGTCTGTAGGCATTGCAGGGAGACACGTGATGCACGTTGTCCATGAGGAATGGTTTGTATGGTGCTCTCCTGGCGACGTGTCCAGACATGCCTAAAGCTCCAATGGTATTGCCATGATAAGAGTGCTCGCGGGCAATGAAGTTCACACGAGATGTCTTATTGTCCTTCTCATAGAAGTATTGGCGGCAAAGCTTGATGGTAGATTCCACTGCCTCAGAACCTGCAAGTGTCAGTTTTGAGTATTCGGCTAGGCCATACATAACTGGACACATACCCGAACCGGTCAAGTAAACCCGGGCCATTTTCCCACCCGTGCCATCTATCAACTCCTTACACAGCTCCTCAACGACTTCCGAGGCCCAAAAAGTAGAAGCAAGGTAAGGAATGCCACTGCTCAGCTGGGCTGTCATGGCATCGATGATTCTCTGGTTTCCATATCCCAAGCAAGACACAGCAGCCCCAGATGTTGCGTCGAAGATGCTACGGCCATCCGCAAGCTGGAGGTAGTTGCCTTTGCCGCTCTTGACGACCGGGAATGACTTGTGGAGGTTACGGTCAAGCAGGAATTCGGTCTTCTTCGAACACTCGGGCGAGACTCCGTTGAACGTGGTAAATTCGTCTTTGGGGAGACATTTGCCCTTGACAGGAAGCGTAGAGACCGTCTCGGACAGAGTGAGCTCGGTGATAGCTGATGGAGCCATGATGGAAGTTGGCGAAGGGCCTTGAGGTGTATCTGAGGTGTACTTGAGGTAGACGAAGGGTTGGAGTCAGTCAAAAAGAAGTAGCAGATAGAGTAGATAGCCTTCACACACAAGAGTGATCATATAGAGATATGAAACAAAGGCAGCTGGGTATCGGGACTTTATATTCTCGTGGCGCCTCTTGCATGATACAGACGGAGCGAGCGTGGGACAGAACAAAGGGAAGGAGCATGGATATAAGGGAAAAAACAAATCGACGGATAGTAGCAGAGCAGATTCGGAAGAAATTGGACCTGCGCCACCGGCAATGGCAACGGCAACGGTGCAAGGGCAATATTCACGGCTGGCGCGTGAAATACTGGCCCAAGAGACGATGAGAGGGCTTCCCGAGGAGTGGAATTGGGGACTGGGGACTGGGGACTGGGGACTGGGGATTGGGGATTGGGGATTGGGCAAGGCAACTCCACCCCGGCGGCGCATACAAATGAGATAAATCGGCTGGCTGGCCGGAGGGAGGAGGTCCGAGGAGGTTAGAAGGGGTGGAAGGGGTAGAAGTTATGAAATGAGTGGAAGATGTGGAAGTGGTGAAGAGATGCGTCTTCGGGGAGGGCACTGGGGCACTGGGGCACTGGGGCAGGCACTCGGGCACTGGAGGCTAGGATTTTTAGTTCTGGTCCTGGCCTAGTGGTCGTCGTTCGACAAATTGAGTTTGATTGGTTAGACCAGCAACCCTGGCCTTGTTGTCTCTGATATTCGATAGGTACCGGTACTATATTCGACTGTCGAACTCACTCGGTACCTGACCCGACTATGCGACCCGACCCGACCCGACTCGACTCTACTCGACTCGACTGACATCGACATTGACATTAACATTGACATCCCCAATCCCGGCTGTTGTAGCTGTGGCGGCCACCGTAGCCAGACAGACAGTCAGCTAACAGACAGATAGACAGACAGACGGACGGACACCCAGACACCATCACCATCTAGCACATCTCACCATCGCCGCCAGCCACCACCAGCACCAGACGGCTTTCTTCCCATCGCACCCGTCCCTCTTACTCTCCTTACTCTTCTTCCACCCGCAGTCAGCCTTTCAGATATGCTGCTATCACGATCTGGAGGCACGCAACCGACTGTCGTTGCACTATTGCATTCCTACCAGGGGAATGTGTGTGCGCTCAGGAAATGAAGATGAGAAGTGATGAAGTCGACAGTGAAGACGCATCTTCGTATATGCTGGGCACCACATGTGCTGCTTCTCCCGTCCTGTCCCGGGGCGCATGCGGGCGTCGATCTAGTGGCGGTCGAAACGAACCACTGGTGTGCTTGGGCACTAGACTTGACAGACCTGACTCCCAATCAATCGATTGATACTGTTTAAACGGCCCTGTCTCCGTGCCTACTGTGTCGTGTCTAGACCGTCGCTCGTCGCCGATGCCAATGCCGCGACGCCGACGACTCTTCATTATGGTACTACCCGACCGTAACTCAGCAAAAGCCACGACCCGGTCCCGACTCAACCCCCACTTGCCGAAGCGTAAGCGCGACCGGCATCTACGACTATCTCTAACTAGTCTACCTTTTTTCCTCTTCTCTCTCTCTCTCCTCCAAGTCCAGTCCCAGGTCCAGGTCCAGGTCCATGAGGTTAACACGGAGCAAGAGCTTAGAGCTTCACTAGCCGGCTATGATCGGTAGGTGTGTGTTGGCGATCCAATCGAGGCTCTGCAACCAGCAGCAGATCAGATCAATGCATCCCAGAGCAAGGGTGAATCATGCGTTTTTGAACCACACTGTCTGGCTGGTGCATCGTCTTCAACTCAGATGGAAGTATGAAGCGAAGGATTTTCAGACCGACGGTTTCTATCATCTCACGCGCTTGAGCATCTGTCCCTTGAATCCACCTCATCAACAGTCTGGTAGCCAGGGAATGGGTTTCTCTTGACCTCCAGACCCGAACCGTCAACTACCGAGGATGCGTTATATTTGAGGGGACAGCTCGCGGCATGAGATAGACACTGATCGGAGGCACAACATTCGTCCGAACACCTCGAAGGTCGATACAAAGAAGATCCTGTGCTACCCTTCTCGCGAAACACTCATAGCTCAGGTAGTCAATCGCTACCTGTCATTGATTTATTGGAACTTCTTATCTCATCTGATTCATCAAACTGCAACGGGCTTCCTCGCAAAAGTGGCCTGCTTCTCCTGTCTATTATCATCCTCACGAACCGAAACCTTGCATATGTAGGTAGCTGAGACGGTGCGGTTTCGAGGATCAAGCAACAGGCCAACCATTTTGATACTTTCCTCCTTCAGGGTCATTTATCAGCTCAGCCGACGGGAGAAATCCTACGACTCGTCCCGCACGAGAGCCGCTGTAGCATCAAAAAAGGGTCTGTGACTTTCCCAGCCATCAATGAGTAGAGCTGGTCTTGTCAGATCTTGGACCAGTGTCTACTGTCAAAAAGCTTTCGGATTTCGGATTTCGTATTTCGGATTTCGGATTTCGGGTTACACCTCCAACCGCTGCATCGTAAGCTAGGTCTTTCCTTTAAGCGGGGTCTCAAACGGCCGCTGATGCCCATCTCAGCTTTCGGCATGCCGGGTCAAAGCCGAATCAGTCGCATTTCGTAACTGCAGCAATTATCAGAGCCGACAAGTCTGAAATCGTGTCTTCTGATACTTAATGACTTCGGTAACCAAGGTCCTTGCGGAACTACATTTCCTAAGTCTGATTCTATCTGGGCTCCAGGATACGATTTCACAAACATTACTACTACGAACTTCATCTCAGATAATCAATCTCTCGCGGAGGAAAGGAGGGTGAGTGATGGATGAAGTGCCGGTAGAGGAGGAACTTGTCTTCTGAGGCCGGCCTTGATTGAACTGCTTTGGTAAGCAACAGTAGGTCCTTCTAAAAAAGAGGTACATTTCTGCCCTTGGCCATTGACTGGTTGCTGAAGCAGCTCCAACGAGTTCGCCTGCAGGTGTGCCTGCCGATCCGGGTCGATAATTCATGGGCCAGTCATCTTTTGCTTTCCTGCATGGGAAGCACAAATCTTCTATGTATGGGCCATTCAATGGTACTGAACAATTTTTTGACCAGCTAGATCATTCTCGAAAGTGCGACCACTTGGGTAGGAAAGCAGCATCTGGATTGCCTCTTATTCGACAGTCATCTGATCCGATTCGGACACGCAAGGGTAATGTAGCTGTGTGTAACCACTGTTGGACCAAGCGTGTGGAACTGTCAATCCTTTATCTTAAATAATGGTTCATATGAACGCGAGGAGGTTAGATGGTCCGTCACCATGGCCCATATTTTGAGCAGACTTGGACACATGAAGAAATTTCGATTCCACGGGGATCAATTAGTCACATCTTACCAGGCTACACTTTGAATCATCAAAAGACAGAATATTTCTGATATAACCGCGCTTTCTATTCTCAGATTGGCGATTTTGGCCTGTCATAGGAAGGATGAGCAAGAGAAACAAACAGGCGAGAGACGGAAAAGGTGCAGCATGTTGGCGACCCGAGCATGTTCTCTATTCAAAGAAAGGGTAATCTCGACATTACTATAAACAGAGGGGTTGAGCTAATGTTCGTCTGAGCTCAGAGGCGACTGATTTTCTAAGAGCTCATGTGCTCTGCCAGAGCGGAGCGATGGGGGGACTATTGACAAAGAGACCCGATATGGAGCCCCCCACTTCTATGTAATTTTTTCCGCGATGAGCAAAAATCTTTGCCTTACGACTGACTGTAGAGGATAAAACAATTACGTGGTGGGAATGAAAGCGGTTGAGGGCTATTTGGTGGGAAGTTTGGATTTTGGGTGGGAAAGAAAACAACGCTTCGTCATTAGCCGAGGACCGGCGTATCCTATATTTCCGCATGTCGATATTTAATCGCTCTTAACCCACACTACTTGCCTTTTCCAGCGGCGCCTATGGGGCTGAATGACAAAATAGGTCGACTATCGCAGCCCGAATATGAGCCAAGTCACGTGCATAGGTAAATATTTATTTTCGAGTTTGCCGAGATTCGATACAATCGGGACGACTCTGCCACTTCCAGTGGATGTAAAATTCCCATTCAAATTCGACAGCTGCTTGCTCGTTGCACTTCGTTTGCACAACACATCAGCTGGCTATCGAAGTTGGCTGCAAGTAATAGGGCGGCCTGGTGAGAAAATTTGGTGGGTGCCGTACCGTATTGACGTTGGCGAGGTCTCGGCCAATCAGACACGCTACTGCGGCTCGGTACCGTGCTTCACTTCACTTTTTCGACAGTGATAGTTGAAAAAAAAAGGCTGTTTGTTTGACTTGACCAGTTTCCCCATTCTCCCCATACATACTAAAGTCCACACCCTCCCACGCCCACACTCTCACACACACACACACATACACCTACACATACACTCAGTATCCTCGATTTCTCCTTGGACTCTCAACTGCAGCGTCAACAATACCGCGACCACCACCACCCGCAGCGTGGAGCGATCCACCGGAAGCGATAGAGTTTGGTCTCGATAATAAACACGCGCCGCGTGCACAAGCAGCAATCGCGACAACTCGTCCCTCCACAACAACTACATACAGTACAACCCCCCCCCTCCTCCCCCCCCCACACACGGCCGACACGCAAATAATCCGGTCAGCACCGCATCACCGCGTCCAGGCGGATCACAACAATCGCAGTGATTGCTCTCCGGCAGCAACACAGCCAGAGTAGATATAGTCCCGGCCTCTGCAGCCCCAATTCACTTCCACTAAGGTACGTCTATCAGTCTCTCAGTCAGTCTATCAATCAATTAACCCAGGTGACATTGCCGCACCGCACCTCTCTCTCTCTCTCTCTCTCTGCCTTGCCCTGCTCTGCCCTGCCCGCCTCCAACTGACCATGTCTGCGACTTCCAGTCTCGACCGAATACCCTCCAGCGGACACCTGGACGCCCAGCACGAAGGTGCCACCGACACGATGTCTACGAAACGCTCGGCTCGTGCGCGTCGGGAAGTCAATAAAGAAGTCGACATCCCCGACTCCTCGCCCTCCCGCCCCGCAAAGAAAAGAAAGAAGGAGAAGGTGAGTTGGGTCGCATCTCGAGTGCACAGAACCGATGATGCTGATATTTTGTCTTCCCAGGTTGTTGAGGAACCCGTCGAGAAGGATGCCACCCCAGAACCGATCGCCGCCCCGGAGCCAGAGCCCCTCCCCACCGACCGGGCTGGCATCCCTATGGACGACGATAAATTGATCGAAGCCGTCGTACCCTTCCTCCTCATGCCCGAACGTATGGTTCAAGTCGCGGAGGACCATTCCAACGAGAAGTTCAAGGAGAGCGAGAACCAACAAGTCACCGCTTATGCAAAGCTGGCCGGCAAGGACTGGTCTTTCTATGTAACAATGGTCAAGATTGTGCTTGGCCGACCTCCCGAGGGCGAGAGCTCGGTTCCTGCTGGTACTCTGAACGGCGCCGACGAGACGAAGTCTGCTAAGGAGATTGGGGTGCACATTGACCTTGGTCCGAACAAGGTTGTTTCTCGATCGCACGCCGAGATTTACTTCGACTCGGATTCCGAAAGCTGGTGGTTGCTCGTCTGCGGCCGCAATGGCGTCAAGATTGATGATAAAGCCTACCGCCGTGGTGAGCGCAAAGTCCTGGTCAATGGAGAGGTCATAGAGATTGGTGGTGTCGAGATGATGTGGGTCATGCCGACTGCCAACGGCTCCCTTCGGGTCCACGACAAATTCCTACAGAGAGCTGGCCTGATCCAAGCCGCGGACGACGACAAGACCCAGGACGGTTCGATGGGCTCGGCTTCCTCTGGTCACTTCCAAATGCCGAATGGTCAACTGGCCATCGCTCCGGCTCCATATGGCTATCGCCGCCCAGGCACTCCAACAATGTTCGGAGGCAAGATGCCGTATTTAGCAGGGAAGTCTCCCGGATACTATGGTGGCACAATGCTCATGGAACCCAAAGAAACCAACTACAGTCTAGAACAAAACTCGCACATGAAGCCATTGTTCAGCTATTCCCAACTCATCAGCCAGGCCATCCTCGACGCCGAAGGCGAGAAACTCACCCTCGCGGGAATTTATAACTTCATCACTGACAGGTACGCTTATTACCGCGCGCAAGTACCCAGCGGATGGCAGGTAAGTTCAAGTTTCGCGCCCACCGAATTGCCGATCAACAACGCTGATTTTATCTTTACAGAACTCTATTCGTCACAACCTGTCTCTGAACAAGGCATTCGGCAAGGTCGCCCGCGAGACTGATGAACCCGGTAAAGGCATGAAGTGGCATATTGTCCCTGAAATGTACGAAGAGATGGTCAGAACCTGTTGGCGCGGTGGCCGGGGTGGACATCGAGGCTCGCCAGGCACTGGCTCGCCAGCTGCCTTCAGTGGTGCTAGAAAGGATCCCACCCAAAAGACGAAGCGCTCTCCACCTTCTGGTTCGCCTGCCTTGAGTTCGTACCCATCGACCGGCCCCCAAATGACACCCGATCGAGGAGGACCACAACTACCGCGGCCTGCAGAGGAGGATGTTCCAGGCGACGGCAGCCCACTTCCACGACACAAGAGGCCGGCAGGAAATTCGTTCGGTCTTTCGGACAACGCGCCTGGAAGTCCAACTCTCTCCTCGTCAATGGTGCATGAAGACTCGTTCGTAACCCCTGCCCCCCATCGTGTTCATCCCCGTCTTGCTCCTCCAAGCACAGCTCAGAGGCCGAGTCAACATATGCCAACAAGTTCTCCAGCGCCGTTTTGGAAATACGCGGACATCGGCAGCACACCCATGAGGGCTCCGGCATTCGACCTGAGTCCAGTTAAAGGCTCTGCCGGACCTCTTCTCCCTCCAAGCAGCAGTCCTGCTCCTGTCCGTAGAGTCTCCGCCGCTAGTCCCACCCGAAATAGTATGCCTGTGAAGCAAGATATACCCGAAGATCTCGAGGATGACGAGGATCAAGGCTTTGATCTTGCTCGGTAAGCACAGCCTAAAAGCTCCTCTAATATTCACTAACACCTACTGCAGAGGATTCCAGAGCATCAGTTCTTTTCACGCGCCTGCTCCCACTGTCGCTGGCACTGGTCGTCCCTGACAATTTCCACCCGCTCCCTTTCTCTTCGCATTGCGAATGTTTGCGTGTCTAACTTCAATTTCGAAAAAAGGCGTTTGTTGTCGGTTTGCTTGTGCGCATGGATCATTGGAAACATCGTGTTTCTAGAACTCGGTAGGGATGTGGTAAGGCTCATCTTGCCTCGTCCTCTTTCTGCTTTTCCTTCTTGCTACAATGAAGTGTGGTCATCTGCATGGTCGGTCGCAGCTATGGGGTTGTAAAAAAAAACTACTTGCATGGAGTAAATGGAATCAGATCGCGTTGCGTTTGTGTTGCGGTGTTGTTGGTGCAGTGTATTTAAATTGTTGCTTGGTCGTTTGCTTCCGGAGGTGGCTGGCGCTGGTTACATGGATGGGTGAAGAAGCTACAAATGAACAGCGCTTTCTCTCAATTCTAGTCAGACTGTTGCGAATCTAAGAATTGCATATTGGATGGCTTTCTCATAACATCCAACGTACCGCAGACATACTCAGAATCTTGATTCCAAAGTCTTGCCGTGAATTTTCTCCGGCTTGGTTGGTGATCTTGGAAATTTCCTTGTTGCGAGTGGGTGGGTGCTTTCCCTGTGTTTGCAGCTGGTTACGGGGATTCTTAGTCTAGACTCTATTCCAATTTTTCAAATTAAAAAAGTGAGACGTGTATTCACTACTTGATACAACTCAGTGTCTAGCAGAGATCTCTGGCCTGATCAGTGAGTGGTAAAGTTGTCACGACAACTTGACTCGCCAAGTCAGACGTAAACCGACGGCACTTTCATAAGCTATCTTTCAGTCCAATAGCCCTTGGAAACCTAGCGGATTCCACCATCTCAATCATAGCTCAGACTGATATCCTACCACGAGCGAATCCCCTTCACTCGTGCCACCAGCCCTGTCCCCTCATTCTTTGCTGAGCGACGGGACTGCGGGAGGGGCTGTCAGTTTTGACGATGCTGTCCCCTTCGTCTATTGACTAAGGTAAGACGGAGTAGCCTGCCTATGTGGTAAGTAATATTTCACGGCAGCTGCGACGGGGGATTGAGTCTCAATGCTGGATCTGGATCCTCGGGTCTTTGAAATTGTCTGTCGGGGTGGTGGCTAGCTAGCTAGGTAGCTAGCTTGCTAGCACTGCGGTTATTCGAGGGCAGAGAGAGTCAACTGCCTAAGAATAAAATTCGCGACTGAGGTATTGACATCGATGAGCGATTGGTGGCTACGTATGTACCAGGTGGGGAAGGAACTGTATAGGCTGGGCTAGGTCGATATCTGAGGATGAACAGCACTGCTGACAATTGAGATTTCTGATTCAGTGGGTGGGAGTTGGGGGTAGGGTAGGGAGGATATTTGCTTGGGATATGTTACACGACATTGTTGACTTTTAGTCGTTAGGTAAGCGAAGCCTGTGGCAATCTGGATGATTTTAACCTACTCATTTTTTTTAAGCAGGGTTTCGATGGAAAGACTTTAATTATATTGCTGTACTTTCAGGAAGTTTCCAGCCTCCTGAAATATGTTCATGTCTGTGTTGTCACCGACGTTCGGCTTTATTAAGTCTCTCCGAGCTCTCCGAGAAGATACACCTCCAGTCACCCCAGCACGGAAGTCTCTATGGCGGGATTAGTATCTATGGGTTCCCGAGATAAAATTCTATCCATATGCCTCTCGAACTATTTGAAGTCCTAAATCGCCAACAATATATGGTACCGGTCGCGCCCACCGTGAGAGTAACAATATCTCCGACTTCTACCTTCTACAAACCCTGACTGTGAGATGTATGGCCGACAAGGTCGAGAGAAAAAAAGCTGGATTGCTCGCCTATATCACAAGTCCCGCTTCTCCCCAGCACTAGATGCGGCGAAAGCAGTTCAGTGGACAGTAAGCGACTTGCTTCTGTCGCATGTCGAATACAAACCCAAGTCCTAAACGAAGTCAAGCACCATGAGTATGTAACTCTGTAGACAGCAAACACAGCCTCACTGCCAGCTTTCATAGACAGTGGGAGAAGGTAAGAACTAAATAACTCCACGGCGATATGTTTTCTTCAATTGAAATCCTGAGCATGTTATGATTTAGGCTGTTCGTGCCTATGGGCCGATCGTCTTGTGATTGCAGTATTCTGAAGCTATTCGAGCCATGTTGCAACAAGGTATGAGCCAACGCGTCGTAGTCTCATGCAGCAGTCAGCACGAAACCGCTCCGGAGTAGGCTTCTTCTGACCTCACATCCTTTTCTTGAGGTACATGATTTGATGCATAAGAGAAGCAGCTCGGAAAAAGCCTGATAGCTGGAAGGCGGAGCACGCACAAGAGAAGTGAGAGGGGGTCATCCAAAAACGGATTCAGGGTGTCTGTCTGAAAGTCATCGAGGTGAGTAGGACGTCGAAGAAGCTCGACAGCATCTCTGACCATAGGCAACGGCGGGTTTGATACACTACGCGGTTGGTGTGAATAATGATCCTAAATTCTTCAAAGTCAAATTGAGGGCCGTTGCAAAGTGCAAATTTGCCCATCCAGAAATCGCATGACGCTGGCAGGCAGGTAGGTAAGGTAGGTATCAGCATGGAAAGGACATCACCGACACATCTCACGAAATCTACACTCTTGATCATCTCGGAAAGGTTTTCAGTTTCAGGTAACAGTTTATGCCATCCAAGATCTTGAGAATCCATCCAGCGCCTGTGAAAGTAGGTGTTTTTACACAAACCGACCCAGCGGCTCGCACGCACAAATCCCACTACTACCACCGACCACCGACTACCGCCTCAACGAAGACGCCTGAGGGGAGCTCCTGAATCACAACAAGCCCCTCTTACGATTCGGGGCAAACGTAGTAGCCATGGCTTCAGTGGCAAGGCTGGTCGAGCCGATAAAAAAATAGGTTAACAAGAAATTCGAATTTGCAAACAAATAAAATTATGCTAGCTTTCACAGCGCTTAAAAAAATATCAATGCTAGAGAAACGGAAAAGCAACAAGCTGGTTTTAAAGCAGCTAACGCTAATCTGAAGTTAATAGCGATTAAGATCCGAAACGATCGTAAGTAACGCTACAAGAGTTTTTGTATCAAAAAGCCGAAAAAGAGCGAAAGAAACCATTGAAAGAGGCGTATAATATTCCACCCGAACGACAGATCCTTATTCGAGACCGCGAGAAGCAGCTTATAGTAAAAAAGATAAAAAGCCGATAATATCACTCCATTTCGTTTTCGAAACGCAGTTGCAAACGGAACAGCTGCGCTTTAAAACGTTTCAGGGGAAAAAGCTTGCTGAGTTCGCGAAAGCCTCGTGTCCGATCGACTTTTCAATCTCTGGTAAATGAAAACCGCTTCCGAATTAAATAAAACTCTATTAGCTTACATTCAGATTGGCGATGACGATGAAAATTATAAGCGAATCAATATTATGTTATCGTCACTTTTAAATGAAAATGATGCTTGGAGAAAATAGAAGAGAGCTTGAGTAAAAAGTTGAAAAAGATAAACGGGATTCGCCGCGGCTTTCATCTATAGTAGCCTTTCTTAAGTCAATCCGAAAGATACGCGATATGATTATTTTTCCAGCTTTATTAGTAATAGAGTAATATATATATATATTTACTAGGTTATATAGTTCATGTCTCAAACCAAATCCATATCCAACCTCCTCACCATTCTGTACGCGACGCGCAGGACACCATTCTTTCACGGGACACAAATCGTTCCGCCCACTTTAGGGAAGGGGCCCTTCAAAGTCGCGACGTCCAGTCCCAAGTCCCACTCTACTGTTCAACTGATCTCACGAAAAATCAAAAAGAACAAAATCTTCACAAAATGCCGAATGTTCGGGGTACAACGACGACACCCCAGAAGGGTATTTATCCTATTCGAGTCACTCGGCGGCCAAACCCTAAAATCATTTGAATATCTATAAATAACCCACAACTGCCCGTCGCCCCAGCCCCAGCCCCAGCCCCACATCACCCCACCCCACCCACCTACCCGGAAAAAAAAAAGAAAAAAAAAAAAGGAAGAAAGAGGAGGGAAGGAAAGAAAAAGAAAAGAGTAAAGGAAAAACTGGAAAAATTATAACATCTCCCTCAGGCGCGAGTCGAACGCGCGACATTCGGATGAAACTGATCTATTACAGTCCGACGCCATAAACCAACTAGACGACCGAGGGTTCTTTATAGCACTGAATGCTGATTTGATGGTGGGGAATGAATGATTTGCTTATATAAAGGCATTAGTAGATTTTCCCTCTCAAAGCCAAGAGACTTTCGCTGATTTTCTCACTTGGAAAACGAAAAGTGTGAGTAATTACTATAGCTGTTTCATCCCATCATTTCACTCCCTGAAGGGCTGCAATCCTTTAAATAATTGGAGGAGGAGATGAATTTTTGATTACTACTGGGCTACAATGCGCGCCAGTGCCTATGTTACAGTCGGGCTCATAAATCGACACAGCTGGCCATGAGAGCAGATCTCAGCAAAAGTACAACACAACAAAGTACATCAGGCTGTTGTAAAACTGCGCGCAGCCCAGCCAATATACTTCAAGAAGAAAATGAGGAAAAAAAAACCCCCCAATATCGATACAGTATGAGCTCAAGATGAGCTGTACGCCGCCCAATGCAATCCTTCCGCCCCTGTGTTTTCTGAACCCACTTACTACGCGAGTCCCTTTTGTGTGCTATTAAATTATACAGCGGCGCTAGATGTACCGCGTCGTTTTGGGTTACTGCGACCTGGTGCGGCACGCTTCTTGGGTGTGCTGGTCTTTTGGTCTGTGCCTTCTATGAACTTAAGAAGATCATCAATGCTGCGGGAATCAAGTCCCTTTCGAGGATCGCGACCGGATGTGGCTTGTGCCGTTTGGCCGACCTGAGGCTGTGGTTGAGTTCGGCCGAGGTTGATGCCAGCACGGATGCGGCGAGCTTGAACATCCTTTGCATGCTTGGCGATCGAGACGGCGTTGACGGTCAATTGCTCCAGCCAGCTTTCCGCCTCCTTGGTATTTTTGTCGTTGGGCCCAAGGATAGTGAGGAAGATGTTGTAAGATTCGCGCATGCGGTTCACGGCAGGTCTGGGGTCTTGTTCAAGGGCCAATGCTTGGGCGAGTTGGAAGAGGAGGGTTGCAGCGTTGATGGAATCTTTGCCGTATACGCCCTCGCAAACCTTGAGCGATTCCTCGAACCAGACACGGGATTCGTGGTACTCCTTGATGTTTTGGAGCATGACAGCAGCGTTGTTAATAGTGGTGATAGAGTCGGGATGATTGGTGCCGTAAATGACCTTCCAGAGTGCCAGAGCATGCTTGACGTACACGAGCGCTTGTTTAGTCTCGCCGCTGTTGTGGAGAAACAGTCCGAGGTTGAGGTAGCTGAGGAGAGTCTCGGCATTGTCAACACCAAGAGTTCGTTCGGAGACAATGACAGCCTTGCGGGCGAGCTCAACGGCGCCCTCCTTCTCTTCTAACTGGTAATAAAGTTGTGACAAAGTGTTGTACACCCTAGCAACCTCTGGGTGAAGGATGCCGTAGATCTGCTCATGTAATGAGAGAGATTCTAAGAGCAGGTCTTGGCCGAGCTTCTTCTGGCCTTGCATCAATGAGATACGGCCAGCTTCAAGAGCCTCCTCCGCAAGTGAGCTCCGAGGAGATGCTTCCTTGATAACTGGTACGATATTGAGAATGTCATCGGGGCTGAAAGTGTGGGGCGTCGAGTTCTTGGTTGAGGCAATGGAAACTGGGGATCCATCGCGAGCCTTTTTCTTCTTCTTGCTGCTAGACTTCTCTCCATTGGGGAGATTGTCTTTCGCGTGTCCATTCATAGCAGGTTCCAAGTCGCCATTAGTAGGTTGCACAGTGAAGTGATAGTCCTTCATCTCCAGTTGCAATCCAAGCTTCAGGGAAACCTCGCGAAGGAGCTGTACTGGCTTGATATCAGCTGACCAGGTACCTTCGATCGTGTATTGGTAGCGTCGGAGAATCTCAAGTTCGATTTCTCCTCGCAAGCTCTGTGGGTTGACCCTTTGGAAAGCAAGGTCTGCCTCTGGGTAGAGGGTAGCCATGCTCTCATCGATATCTGCCTTGGGGTTGGCGTTCAGACCAGATCCCAGCAAGCAGTTGAGGAGGTGAGAGATGCAAGAAGCGGTGAGCGGGATTGGTATATATCTTAAGTACTTGCTGGCAACGTGCTTGAAAGCTCTAGAAATCATCTCTTGGATAGTAATTGTTCTCAGAGATTCTAATCTCTTGCCCTCAGCAAGTGCAGCAAGCTTACCCAGGTATCTGATGTTGATACCGCGCTTGTGCAAAAGTCGGCTTAATGATTGACCATCCATTGGAAAGCCGACATCACCATCCTTGAGATCAGTAATGAGTTCTGGGAGAACGGTATTTCGAAGGAATTCGCATGCGGCCTTGACTTCTTGCTCATCCTTTGCTAGTTCCTCCTTGTCTTCCTCCGTCTCGGGCACCTGACCAGTGAACGTATCGGGATTCAGCGAGAAAACGAAGTCGGAGATGTCGATCCTGTCTTTGTCCAAGTCGAGAGACCCATCATTTGTCGCGACAGCCTTATCTTCAGAAGCCTCCTTCTCCTCCTTGGGGGCATCCTCGCTGACCCCGCCTTGAATCTTCTCGGCGCTAGCATTCTCTGGTTGGGCGGCGCGTCGCTTAGACAGTTCTCCGTTTACCCATTCGCGCATCTTCGACTTCCAGTATGCCTCAACGAGTTCGGGTCTGAGTACAGTCATTCTGTGAGGGTATGCGCTCTTGCTGGCTCCATTAACTTGCTCAGGGCTGCTGATCGCAGTACCGTATTCTTCCATCCACGAGATATCCAGAGGGGTGACTCTGTATAAATCAAGCACATACTTGCGGCCGTCAGTGCCCAATAAGCCTTTGGTTTCTACACTGCCCTCCAGTATATGCTTCTTGCCGGCTTTGTCCCATACCGCATGCTTCTTGACCCTTAAAGCCTTTGAGAGCTTTTCGAAAACAGGGACAAATCGTTCGTCAGAGGCAACAACCTCCTTGCCATCAACCGCACCGTAGTCGATTTGATTCTCTCCGGGTTCGCGTTGCTTGAAGATTCCAGGGACAATGCTTTGACCGACCAATCTCTTTCCCATGTAGTCAATCACGACCGTTCCAGGTGTGAAAAGACCGTCAATATCCAACTGGTTGACCATTCGGACACCCATAACATCTTTGCCTGTGGCAACTCTCGCAGCTTCATCTCCACCTTCCGAAGCAAAGGTTCCAACACCGTCAGCACCAAAGGAAAAGAAAACGTTGTTATAAACAAAGATTTGGGCATCTCTGCCCTCTGTAGGGTTGAGAGGAGCAACTTCTCCTCTAGCAACCAAAATCGCACCTCTAGCGGCTGCTTCGTTGTAGTCAGCGAAAAGCTTAGATGTCAGTCGCTCACGGAACACGCGGTCCTGAACTGTCTCTTTTGGCAATTCGCGAGTTGATTGAAACTCCTCATTCCAATCTCTCAGTGTCTCTGTATTTTCTAGACCGGAAACCAAGTAGCTCTCCTGTGTTCGTGTAATATCCGCACAGTGTGCAACCAGAGGCGATGTCGAGTTGGGGACCACCCATGGGCTCGCAGGGGTGGCATTCGTGATTTGAAAATTCCCAAGTGGTTCCTTCAAATTATTGTAATCCTGCAACTTCTGAAAAGATGCCTCGAACGAGGGCGAGATTTCACCAAGTAAGTTCAGAAGCGAATGTGCTGACGCAGCCTTGGGAGCGCCTCGGGGGAACGGATTGAATTTTGCGTTGGAAGACTTATTAACGAAGAAGCCTGAAACGTGAGAGGTAATCTGGAATTGCTCTCCTTCGTTGGTAATTACCGAAAGGTACAGCAAGTGGCCCTTTTGTCGAAGATGGTATGGTGGAGGGTTCCAATGAGACACGGAAATAGACTTCAGTGTCTTCGGTGCCGGGTCTTGGGGCTGGGGCAACAGAGTGGAAAGTTGACCAGGAGCCTGGAAGTCGTAGTCTACCATCGGGTGAGTAGGATTTGGAGCTCCTTCAGCGAGAGTTTCACCAGCAGTGACCGAGTCATGGAGGGATAACCCGGATAGAATTCCGTACAGGGTGTCAGTTCGGTCTCCAGCAGCCCCGATAAGTTCCCTAACTCTAACCACATGTAGTCGCGCCTCCTTCTCGGTATAGGGATCCTCGATCAGAGTTAACTCGGATTCGGGTGTAAGGCCTTCAACCTCTGAGAGCTGGATGAAGTCGTTGATTCGTTGTCCCTTGTGCTCGAGATGGAAGCAAGAGTACTGAAACGTTCCTGGGGTCTCGATCACCGATTGACGCACATCATGGATAGCCTCTTGCGAAGCAACCTGCATGCGTGAGTATGTACCCAGAGTGGCCAGGAGAAAAACACCTACCATGATCTGGAGCTTCTTAGGCTCATGCGGAAGATTGACGGTCAATTGGAAGATTGCTTTTCACACGTCAGAACATACTCATTTAAATGTGTCTGGTTCCTACTCTCGCCTTGCTCCTCGCCTTGTTCCTCGCTTTGCTCTCCGTTGGGGGTCGCATGCTCCATGTCAGAGACGTCATGGGTTCTCTCTGTTGAGCCGGCTGGAGTTTCTGGAATCATAGCAGGTTAGCAGAGTATGATTTTCAAGTTGCTGTGCCATTGCACATCCATTGGACACTTGCGCAGCGGCATAGGGGCATTCAATCGACTCACCAGAAGAAGCAGTCTTTGCGTCATTGGTTTCTGTTGCCATTGTTGAAGGATAGTTCAGAAGAAATTACCAATAATCAATGCAGGAAAATCCAAAGAAGCCGAGATATGTGCAGCTGGAAGGACTGACTGTGGCTTTGGGAATGGTAAATATTTCAGATGGAAGAAAATGGGCGTTCAAGATCAGGAGGAATGGTTGTAAAGCAGTGATCCTCGACAAAAATTTGACGACACGAGCAAGGAAGGCTGTTTCGGCTTTGTCTCCGGAGCAGCCCGGAGCCTGGCCCATGCGCGGGTTTGTTTGTTTATCCGTACTTACCTAAAGAATGTCCCCCACCAGTATTCAAATAACAACAACATCAGCTTTGATCCCCATAGCTTTTGGTATAAACTTTGCATTGCTTCTTTTACTTCATGTACTTGCTATGATCATCGCCATTGCTAAATAGGTGCACCATCAATCAGTATGAAACCTGCCTTATCATCTCTGACATGTTTGCTGACACTGGCCCAGAAGTCCATTATGGATATAGCAGTACCCTCTATGAACAGCAATTTGCATACCGGTACATACACACCAGTACGCCGGCGCGACTCTACAATTAACTCGAGATTGCTCCATGGTGCGGACCAAGAACAAGAGTGGACCGCCGCAAGATGCCACCGACTGCTTCGAGCCCTGACATCCCGAGTTGCGATTCTCAAGAAGGACCTGGTGCGATTTCAGTCAGCGCGCAATGGCCATGCTTGGGAGAGCAAAACCAACGCGCAACCAGGGTCAAGGGCAGATGATGCGGAATGGACGAAAGCGAAGAAGCGGATCAGACAAACATATTCCGGCAGAGGGGGGAAAAATTGCCCAGCAAGTCGGAAGGACCTTGCTCAGGCTGCAGCTCCGAGAAAAGAACGGAGGCCAACGGCCCCCGGAGAAGTCACGGTCCCAACCCCAATACTTATCCGAGCTAGAGGGGAGATGCCATTACCACAGCAAATCCCTTCCAAAACATATGAAGAGCCGCGGCTGGAGGACTTCAAGGTGACCAAGCGGCCTCGAGGACGCGGTGTTGATGGAGACTTACAATTTCATCCATCGGAAACTTTGAGAGACCTACGACAGACGATTAGTGCAACACGATGTACGACCTACGAAGGCATTTATAATGGACTGGAAGGATTACTTCGTGCAACTGTTAGCAACGGTTCTGACGAGAAACCGAAGGTCAAAGGGGCAAGATCATTATTATCCATGGCGCTCAAGGCCGTTCCAAAATACATCACACAGCAAGAAGGCTTACTAGAGTCGCATATTGAGGAATTTGGTGGCAAAACAGCTCTTGACCAACGGGATATCTCAACCGAGATCTACGACGAACTCGAATCTTTTGGATCTTCCAATCGTGGTTGGAAGAAGCTCAAGACCATTGTCAGAGCGCATGGAATCCAGGTCATAAATGATGCTATACACTTGGGACTATTGGATGATGGATTCTGCGATGTCTTGATTGCGCTTTGTGTGAACTGTTTCGCTATCGAGGAAGCTCAATCGCTTCTTTCGGCACTTTTATCTTCGAGAAAGTACTCAGGACCGAAGACATTGTATGATACACCCAGCCGCCCTTTAAGTATGTTGTGGAAATTCACAGAGTTCACGGGTCGATCCTCTTTCAAGTTCCGAGAGTTGTCGAACATTCTCTCGGATGGATGCTTGCCTGTTGAATGGCTTGCAACCAGGGAGTTTGGGCCGATTTGGACTTCTGCAATTCAGCTCCTGTCACCCGGGTTGACCAATGATGACGCTTTTGTCTTTCTTGATAGTGCTCTCTCTCTACTATCAGTCGCTGGAGGCCCATCTTCCTCCGCAACAAAGCCCGTCGCCGAAGCCGTCAAAAATACATTTTGCAGCCTTCTGACCACTCTCACATCAGTGGCGATCCTAAGCAGAGAAGCCAGAAATGGAAGGATGATTGAGGGGTCTGGAAGCGGATCATACGGAGATGCCTCTGCCTTACTGAGGGGCTGTATGGCGACCAACGGGCTTTCAAGTCCTTCGGATGCGCGTATCCCGCTCCTCCTGTCGAACTTGATTTCTCATGATGCTCAGGATTTTGGCGCAAAAACCTCACTGATGGATATGATTTTGTCTCAGCTACATGGAAAGAGTGGTACTTCCGGAGTAGCACGGGCCTACACCCAAGCTGTCACTTTCATTTGCCAAATTGCCCAATGTTGTGGGAGAGGTTCTGCTGGCCCGGGATTCGGACACCTCGAGCAAATGCACCTGCTGTTGGAGAGCATGGCATCGGACAAAGACGCCAGTAATGTTGTGCAAGGTTTAATCGTGGACAGTGCTTTCATGTTTGCCCAGAAGTCGCCACATCGTAAGCACTTGGACTATGCTGCGACGATGGACGCAAAGTTCTGTGCAAGGAGGATCGATGTTGACGCCAGCCTACACGAAGTATCTGAAGGGGATACATCTGAAGATATGAGCGGATTTCGTTGGGAAGAGGGCATTGGGGAGTGGGTAACTGCAACGCCCGCAATCCACGTTGCAAAACGCAAGGCCGCTGCTTTGAAGTCTTATGCAGATATTTCCGAGTGCGACACTCCGTATCGACCTCCCCCAAAATTGCGCCGACAGACTGAGGCCGGACCTGCATTTAATCCTACGCCTATCGTGCTACCCAGCTCTCCAGTTATTAGCAGCGGTCCCGTAATTGACAACTCAATAGGGCTGTATCCTCTACGGTACTCACCAAGCCCCGCAGGACACAACGACAACGCTTCCGACGGCAGCATTCCGACACGAGACAAATTCACCCACGATGAGAGTGGAGATGAACTAGCAGAAGACCCTTTCCAGAGCGGTGACTTTTCGGATTCTGGAGATCAATCTAGTCAGATAGAAATTTCCTTTGCAGAATCATCCATGTCTAATGCATCATCAGCGTCTGTGGTAACCACGGGATCCAAAGGGCGTCATTCAATCGACCGGGTGCCGAGGCTCAATCGAAAGCTGCTTCGAAGAAGTGAAGACTTTCAGCTCTTCGAAGACTCTTTTGCGTCCTCTGCGTCCTCTGCGTCCTCTGCGTCCTCGGCAAAATCAAACACCGAGTCCGCTTCATCAGAGCGCCGCGAGCTGATTGATCGCGCCCCTCGACTTGGCAGGAAAGCACTCCGCTCAAGCCAGGCTTGGCAGCTATTGGACGAGAGTGACGACGAGTTGAGCTTTCTCTCGGCCGCGTCTCAGAACGACCACGCATCATGGGATCTTAGACGCACCGGGCGTTCCAACGCTCGGTGCCGACGTAAGTCCAAGCCCATACTTGCGCCGGCAACTCGAGCCAGAGCCAGTAAAGCTACGCATCTCAGGGACAGCGACAGCGACAGCGAGGACGAGTTGTGCATCTAAATACTAGACGTGACGTGGCGCAATTATCCAACTGCCGAAGCCCACATCCAAAGCTGCAACACCCGACATCGCGGGCGATTCTTGCAAATGCTGATGTTTTGATGAGAGATGCCAAGTGGACTCCGCTAGGGCAGATTTGATGTGATCATATACTACCAATTCTGGCCAGTCAACTGCCATATCCGATCTTGCAGCGACTTCAACAACATTGAATCTTCCCTCCTTGTGTGACGCTTGCCTGGCATGTCATAGCTCGTGGCTTGCGACGGCTGTTGTATCACGAAGAGCCGATGTCCCCACTACCTTTCTTGTCATGGCAGCACGGTTGGGTGGATTGTTTGTACGAGATCATCTCATGTTTTACGCTGCAGATGGCGTGGAAGACAGGGGACCAGCGGGGAGGGGAGGTTTTTCGAGACGGTTCGGCTGGGACTTTTAGATGATCTTGACCTCAGCGTAGCGAATCTCTCGAACCCGTTTTCCATCCAGACCACATTTCCCTTCGTGAATATCAGATGATGGGATCGAGACCGGACCCACGAAGGAAGGGTCGGAGGGCAGCGACATTTCTCCACGCGTGGGTGGGCGCTGCAGTGTGTCGTTGCAGCAGCTACCCGCGTTTCCCACGATAACTCGGCGTCGTACTGAAGAGGGTCGGAACTCGAGAAAAACCATATAGATGAGGGCAAAAGCAAGTAGAAGATGAGACGACCAAAAAAAAAAAACACAATTTAAAACAAAAAGGAAGTTGAGAATCCCCGTTGACAATTTCACGTCTCGCGAATCACGATTCGCTCACTGCGGCTTTCGCAATGAGTAGTGGATAGGCATGGTGGGCAAGGTGGGCAAGGTGTTTAGGAGGAAGCACTGTAACGTCAGTCGGACTTCGGAGGGAGAGGGGAGAGGTCTCGGAGAAGGAACCATGTGCAATCTATCCCGCACCTCAACAGTCGGGAGGGGGGACGGGAGAAAGGGGGGGGGGCCGGGTGTTTGGAATTGGCAGTTTGGAATTGGCAGTTCGGAATTGGCAGTTTGGAATTGGCAATTTGGAATTAGCTTATCGGGGCGCGGGACCGTGTTGACTCCGGGGAGGGGCTTTCGAGACAGAGAGTGTTTCTGGGAATCGATGGAGAGAGTGAGAGAGAGATCGATGGAGAGAGGGAGAGATCGGAGGATGGATGGAGAGGTGGGATCGAAGGACGAATGATCGTCGAACACAAAATGATATGATATGGTATGAAGAATGACGAAATGCGTGTCTGCACAGTCGACATGAGGATAATTAAGGTCGGTGATCGATGTGCATTGCAGCGCCTGTGGGGTCTTGGCTTTCAACCGTGCGCCAATAAGGTAATAAGGTAATAATAAGGTAATAAGGTATTAAGGTACGAAAGGTTATCGAGCTGTTCGGCGGCTATTCCCATCAGATGACAGGCAGAAGGCAGAAGCCGACCGACGGACAGGCGGACCGACGAATCAGATGGATCAGATGGATCAGATGGATCAGATGCACCCCCAATGCCGGCCCACTAGCCAGTTTGAAGTGCAGCGGGACCCCGGATCCTCAATCGCGGGTCGGGTGTCGGGTGTCGGGGGTCGGGGGTCTGAAACCACCGACACAGAGAGAGAGAGAGAGAGAGAGAGAGATCAGCTACCCGGTACTAAGAACGGACTGTACTGTACCTGCTTCTCCGTGTCTATTTTCTACGTACTGTATCTCACCCACCCCCCACCCCCCCGATATTGGCGGCTCCGTGCGCTTAATCTGCTTATTCTGCTTGTTCTCCTTCTCGGCTTTCCTCCGTAACGTCCGGCCTGGGGATGGGAAGATGGAGCTCGGGTCGCAGAATGTACGGAGTCGATTCAGTTTGAAGCTCTGTGGGTGTGCTTACGCGTCGGATTAGAAATACCGAATTCTCTCTGCGAGTTTATCAGCGCTGACGTAGTCAACGCAAACCCAGAGCAGAGGAACAGGAATGAATAAGGGGATTTGCGGTGGCTGGGAGGTGCAGGGGCAATGGCTGAGCTATGGGGATGTCGAGGTCGATGTCGATGTCGAGGTCGAGGTCGAGGTCAATGTGGATGTGGATGTCAATGTCAATGTGGATGGAGATATAGATGTAGATATAAATATAGATAGATGTCGATATACTTAGATGTCGATATACTTAGATATAACATTAACAGATTGAAACCTGCGCACAAGACGTGAAATTCCTTGGTCGGATCCACCCTAACGGGCCGGTTACGTGACACCGCACGGCCGCGCCCTGGGCTGGGCTGGGCATGATCCACATTCCCGCCCCTTTTGGCAGGCCCTGGATGCACCGCATCTGGGTTGATGCCTTCACCTCCTCTTAAACAAGCCTTCCCCTTCGGGACGATTATCAAGCTGACGCGGTCCTGCTCTCCATCCCACCACCTGTCTTGACGACGGTCACGTTTTGCACGGAGTCTCCCACAGCTACCCATCCCATTTCTATCCCATCCCCTTTCATCCCATCCCATCTTCTGTCTCTCTCTTCAGCATTCTTCTTGCGCTTCATCAATCGGGTTCCTCGCTCTACTTTCTTCATCTTCCTCGTCTCAACTCACCTCACCTCACCTCACCTCACTTCACCCGCTCACAAACGAATGAAACGAACGACCGTCGACTGCCCACCCACGATCCTTACTGCAATCAAAATAGCAACAACTCGTCTTCTCCACTGACTCCTGGTCATTTACTATTTTCCATTTCCCATTTACCAACCTTTCTGTGCCTGAACCCGTTACGTTTGGAAGACCGGATCTTCGACTGCGCATTCCAACGCCATCCACTCGGAAAGAATCTCGAACCCTTGAACCCTGGAATTCGCACCAGCCCGCGCCAGACACTCACCACAGGATCGAGATATTCTCCCCGTCTTCTTCTTCTTCTTCTTCTCCTGCCCGTGCATGTGACGATAGGAACTACAATTCGTTCTCATGCCTTTCATGCCTTTCATGCCTTTCCCGACCGGAATCCTCGCCGTTCTGGCTCTCGCCAACACGGCATCGGCCCAGAATGCGACCGAGATTGCCGCTGCCAATGCGAAGAAGGCCAAAGCCAACGCGGACAAGCTCAACAAGGACTACTACAATTACCTGTTCATCATCTGTGGCTCCCTGGCTGCGGCCATGATTTGCTGGAGAGTGGCCACCGAGACGGTCAAGTACGTCCGCCAACTGACGTCTCTGAACGACGACAAGCAGTTGTACTTTGTTGCCCCCTCGGGGAGATTCGCCAGCTTTAAGAAGCACCTGCTGTACGCGCCGGTTTGGAGGAAGAGACATAACAGGGAATTCCAATTGTCGACAGCTATCAACATGGGAACTCTCCCCACCAGACTTCAAGGTTTATTCTTATTGGCGTACTTGGGTACCAACATCACTTTCTGTTTTGTCAGTATCGATTGGTCTCAACCATATGCCTCTGCTCTTTCGGAGCTCAGGAACCGTTCTGGGACCCTCGCCGTTGTCAACATGGTAGGTCTCCTGACTGTTTATCACGCGGGTGAAGAAGAACTGACGCCGGCAGATCCCTCTCGTAATCATGGCTGGACGCAACAATATCTTGATCAACTGGCTTAACATGTCATTTGATACGTTTAACTTACTCCACAGATGGTTTGGCCGTATCGTAATTCTGGAGGCCCTCATCCATACCATAGCGTGGATGCTCGCGGCCGCCACCAGGCCTGCCGGATGGGCAGGAGTTCGACAGACTATCACTACATCTTCCAAACACACGTACGGATTCATTGTAGGTTGTCCGTTCTTCTCATCTCATTCTGTGCTGATGATCTAGTCCACAATCGCCATGCTTGCGATATGCGTCCAAGCCAGCTCTGTATTTCGCCACGCCTTTTACGAGACCTTCAAGTATCTCCACATCAGTCTAGCTATCCTCAGCATCGTCGGGCTCTGGTACCATCTCAAGCTCGCGACCGCCCATCAACTTGAACTTGTGTACGGAGTCGTCGCTCTCTGGGCTGCTGACCGTGCCATACGTCTCATCACGGTCTTCTACCGAAATGGTCGCGGATCCCGAGCTCTCGTCGAAGCCCTCCCTGGAAACGCCGTTAGAGTCACGGTCAAGATGCCTCGACCATGGACTTTCAAGGCTGGCCAGCACGCATACCTGTACATGCCTTCCATTGGACTCATGACGTCTCACCCTTTCTCTGTTGCGTGGTCTGAGGAGGAGGAAGCGCAGTCAGGAGAGGAGAAGCTGGCGATGAATAGACAGGATATCCTGGCTATGAAGAAGACCAGTATGTCGTTCATCATTCGGGAGCGCACCGGATTCACCAGAAAGCTATGCCAAAAGGCCGAGAAGGCACCCGATCAGAAATTCTACGTAACCACGTTCGCCGAGGGTCCTTATGGAGGCAAGCACATGGTACGTTGTCCCCAAATGAGAATCCCGGATCATACTCACGATTTCTTGTAGATGGCCTCCTACGGAACCGTGATGCTCTTCGCCGGTGGCGTAGGAATCACCCACCAAGTTCCTCACGTCCGCAACCTCGTCGCAGGCTACGGGAACGGCTCCGTCGCCGCCCGCAAGATCGTGCTCGTCTGGATCATCCAGGCCCCCGAGCACCTCGAGTGGATCCGCCCCTGGATGACGGCCATCCTCGCTATGGACAAGCGCCGCGACGTGCTGCGGATCTTGCTGTTCGTCTCCCGCCCACGCTCCACCAAGGAGATCCACTCCCCCTCCGCGACGGTGCAGATGTTCCCCGGACGTCCCAACATCGAGACGCTCATCGACCTTGAGATCGAGACCCAGGTTGGCGCCATGGGCGTCTCGGTCTGCGGAAGCGGCGGGCTGAGCGACGATGTGAGATGTGCTGTGCGCAAGCGTCAGCACGTCAGCAACATCGATTTTGTGGAGGAGGCGTTCTCGTGGTAGAATTATTGACCGATAGATCCTGACGACAGGCTTGTATTACTTCATGTAAAAACATTTCAAACAGAGGTACCGGTGTTGGAGGATAAGATTGCCGGGAATCCATTTTACAGGATACGATAGTTGGAGCAACTGGAAAAAATTTTGTTGGCATCGCGATTGATAGCTGCTTGTTTTTGGCTCCTTGGGAGCTGTCATTCATTATTATCATGGCTCGGAAGGTCCACGAATGATACGAACGCATAAGTTTTATTTCTTTGTAACATGTGTATGACAGGACGTGAGAGATTGAAGGCTTCGCTAGATTAAAATGGTGGTTACGGAATTTATCTCGCATGAAGACAGGAACGATTGAAATGTGCAGAGCAGCTTTCGATCTTCATCGTTCTGATCTTCATCCACCACAAACTGTCTTTTCCGCACCATCATATGCCTCGTGTACCCGCTCCTCTCCTTGCGAGTTTGGCGTTGGGGTTAGTTACAACGATCTCTCTGAAATCCTCTGCATCTACCTAGGTACCTACCTATCCCCTAACCTCCGGAGGTCGTAGATCCCACCACAAACACCACCACAATCAACCAACCTAGCCCACCCACCTAGCCAAGTCAATCAACAAGAGAGAGCGCAAGGGGGAGGGAGAGAGGGAGAGGAAGAGGGAGAGAGAGATCTATTTATATCTTCCTACCTACCCAGTCAGTGAGTGACATGTCGCACTAACCCGTACGTACTATCAACCCCCGGACCAACAACAACAACAACAACAACAACAACAACAACAACAACAACAACAACAACAACAACAACAGCAGCGGACCCTGCCTTCCGTCATCCTTGCACGGTTTCATGCTTCCTTGGCGGTTGGTCACTGCTGCGCGGTTTGGGGATGTATATATATATATATATATATATATATATATATATATATATATATATAGTAAATAAATAAATAATAAGTAGTATAATAGTGTAGTTATATATACTAATAATAGTACTACG